ACATGCTTAGAGCATGTGAAGTACGTATATAATACCAATCGACATTAATCTAAGTATTAGATCATTAGATTATAGTCAAGAACATCCAAAAAACTTAGATAAGTAGTTGGATGAGTTCTTGACGCATGAAAACAAATATAATTTGAGTTTTGATGTTGCAAGCACAAACCTTAACAAGGATTAGATCCTTAGCAAGGAATCCATTTATAATCACGAGGCAAGAAGTGTCGTGGCTTGAGAATGGTAACATGGATGTGCATCCATGTATAATGTGCGGGAATTTAAGGAAAATTTCCATGATCACAAGTGATTAGGGTATCCCAAATTGTTGTGAGTTGCTTGGAGTAAAACCCAAGCAAGGCATCATCGGGGAGTCTACTAAAATATATGTTGAGAATATTGTTACCTTAAAGGCAATAATAAGATAGATTTTAAATGGAAAGGTTCGTTGTTGAACATTAATGATTGTAGGTTGTCAAGTAGAAGGTCTCAAATCATGAAAATGTGTGGGAGCCATTGCTTGGACAATAAATCCTGAATCACTTGTAATCCATTAACACTCTCAAAATTTTATCATCTTATTATGGAAATGGTGGATAATGAAGATGCTAAGGTTTGCAAAGTAATTATAACTAAACCTATGCAATAAGTGAACGACAACATTCATAATTGCATGAAAGAAATCAAGCATATCAAATATGGGTGTGATTTCTATGAATGTTTTATGAAGAGTATTACTCTTTAAACATTTGGGAAAAACCATTTATCATAAGATGAAACATTGTGAAGTTTCATAGTGGAATAAAATATTTCTAAATATTCCACAAAACTATTTAATTGTGGTTTAGAATTAAATAATGAGTCCATTCGATTTTAATAAATATTCAAAATAGGGTATCAAGTCAATGGCTTGGATAAAGAAACACCTATTAAGTGAACATTGAATATTTTAATCGAAAATTATCCCTAATCAAGGTCATATTTTGTGGACGATTGATGACCATCAGAGATTAGTGTGTAGTATGATTTATAGCACCGTTTCTTGTGCTATGAGGATATAAATCATTTGCACAAGTATTGGTTTAGAACCATACTGGATCGACCTATGAGGATACTTTAAAAGATTTAAAAATCGTCATAAGTATTTTCTCATTATTACTATCGAAACTCTTTTCCTTTGACCATGAGTAGTGGGAGATCTCTTGTTTGAGTACTTGTCCGCTTTGGTATCCGCCAAACGTCTGCCGTAACTGGGGATTATAAAGACAGATATTGGGCGGGTGAGTCCTCTTAGTAAGAGAAGCTACATTACAAGACTAGAAATGTCCCCCTACTAACAATAGGGAACATGTCTTGTTGTTTACAAGGCCTCTCGAAGAGCGAGACTGTGAAAAATGCATGGTCGTGCTCAGATGGATTTTAGAAATCATCTCCTTATTAACAGTCAAACTCAGATTTCGAGAAACACTTCTGGACGTAACAGAGATGACTAGTAATCTTACTCTGTAGTTCATGAAGAGACATGAAGAGACATAGGATAAGGGATATACACTAAATTCACATTTGTCCGGAAGGACAAGTGGGAGATTGAAAGGAATGGTGTCCTTCGAACAAGTGTATTATTCTGATAGCGGGTTCAGAATTATTAGAAAGCTAATATATTCAGTAAGGTCAAGTGATCAGAATGCCTGGGTGGAGGCCGCTTCCAATCAGTAATATTAATATAATTAATATTACAGCTTAATCTTGACTGAACCCTTCGGGTCACACCCAAGCAAAATATACGAACCAACTCGACGAATTAATTCGGAAGAAATTAATTCGTCGCCCGAGTGTTAAAAATTTAGACGTCGGAAATTCGAGCTTGGAGCGTCGAAACCGAGCGTCGGAGAATCTCAAATGTCGAGCCAAAATTTAGGATTTGGCGAGACGGGAAAATGCATCAAGTAACAAGTAAAAATCCTAGCAACGCAAAAGGCTAAGAATACATGCCCAATAGGAGCATGCCACGTGGCAGCACACATGGCAAAACGCCATGTGGCAGCACACGTGGCAGCCACGATGGAAGCCGCCAAGTGGCAGCAGCCACGTTGGCAGCAGCCACATTGGCAGCCACCAAGTGGCAGCGGGCCACGTGGCAGCGCCATGGTCGCGGCGTGCCACGGTGGCGACACATGTGGCTATAGCCGTGGACCCAGGTTGATGGGTCATGGACACGGGCCAAAATAAAATGGGCCAATCGAACCCAACTTGGGGAACAAGGTTGGGTGACACATGGTTAGTTCACAATGCATGTGAAATGCCTTGGGGACCAAGTGAGAAAGTGGTCCACACCTAACCATGTGACACTTGTCACTTGTTCCTTTGTTTATTTAACTAAGGGTTGAATTCACCAATCTTTCCATGTGGGATCTTTTTGTGAAAAGTCCCACATTGAAAGATGAGTGAAATTCACAAGGCATACTTCCTTATAAATAGTCATGGCATGGCTTGGGAATTCTTTGCTTGATTGGGAGTTAAAAAGAGCATTCCATAATTTTGGGAAAACTCTTAAACTCATATAACACTCGGGTTTTTGGTCGGACCTCGCTAACCCCCAGGTAGTATACCTTAAAGTTGTGTTCGCCTTTTTGTGGGTGGATACCGTCGGAGGCGCGGCGCTTGACGTGCTCGTAGCTTTCAAGTAAGAGCCCCGGTTTTTGGGTGAAGCTCGCTTCGAGGGTAAGATTCGTAATCTTTTCTTTGTGATTATTTATTTATGCTTTATGATTTTAATTATTGCGAGTGGTTCTTCGGGTAGGGGTTTGTTTTCGCGGTGAGTCGGACTCACTAAACCCCAACAGGTATTAGCTAATTTTGTTAACAACGCGTTTCTGGTTCGGCTGGCCGCATAGTGCGGCAAGGTGCCATATCAGTAACCCTTCTAGTATCCCCTGAAGTAACCCCACTTAAGTAACCCCTCTAGTAACCCTTGAATGACTTAGTAACCCCTAACTAACCTGGTAACCCATGACTGACCTAGTAATCCCTACCTAGTAACCCCAAGTAACCCCTAACCAACCTAGTAACCCCTAACCGACCTAGTAACCCCTAACCAACCTAGTAACCCCTAGTAGCCCCCGACCTAGTAACCATTAACCCACACCCAAACCCACCGCAACCACCACCAACACCAACCTTTCTTAACCGCCGTCCTCAAAACCTTAAACTCCACACACCACCACCAACTCCCTTACCAATAACAACCATTAAAATTGTTAAAAAAATAATTAAATCGAACAAAAACCTCAAAATAAATATTTTTTTCGAATTTCACTTGAAATATGGCTAAAAAGACCAAATTCAGCCATAAAAACTCTATATCCTAGAGTTTTTATGGCTGAATTTGGCCTTAAAACCTCTAGCTTGTTTTTCGGCGACAGAGTATGAGGAGCATCCTTACCCCCTACCACTGCTGCTCCATTTAACTTGTTTAATTCGAGTGGGCTAACTAGAGAAGATGAAAATAGGAAAGAGAAAGAGGAGAGAGGAGAGATAGAAGAGGGTTTATGTATTTAGGTGAAAAGAAGAAAACTAAAAAGAGAAGGGGAGATAGAGAAGAGAGAGAGAAAAAAATATACGGCGGAGCCGCATATAAAACTTTGTATTTTGTGAGGATACCCCCATTCATCTTTATGATGAACGTGCGTCGTTAATCTTGTGGCAGTTTCGTAAATACATCGAACAATATTTTGATTATGTGGAGAGTGTTGTAATAGGTGGTAGACATGATATGATGAGTCACGCTGCCACTAGAATAACGATCGCAATTAAACAAGTTAACGGAGAGTACCATCAATGTAGTTTGACTCGTTTAGTGCCTGTATCTATTTGCGGGTGATGGTTGAGTATTAAATTTGAATGTTTGTGTGTTTTTAAAATGACTGTGCATAGTTAAGGTAAATTGTGCAACGAGGAGGAAGGTGGAGCAATGGATTTGTGAAAAACTAAGGTGGTGTGAATTCTGGTAAAATTTCCGACCCATTTTCTAATTAAACCCGTTCTGGAATTTATCTGCTAGCACTGTCTTAATTTTTGTTAAAATTCGCTTGTTGTGATACATATATGGTTAATCCTACTAATTTGTTTAGTGATACATATATGCTGATATACGATTTCCTTTTGTAACTGATATTGGTATGTAATTATAGTAGTGTCTTTGGTGAAGGCTAATAGAGATGTACTTCTATTTTTATTCATGTATATTGTATTTTTTGCTTCATTAATTGCGTTAATTATGCAAATGTTTATGTGTGCTACTGGTTTAGGTAGTTTGGGTTTACATGTAACAGATTAAGTAATGAATGGAATTTATGCTATAGATCTAGTTTATTGGATACTTGGAAATTGTTAATGCAGTAGTGGAATGGAACAATTTTGGGGGTACTGAATCTGCAAATTGTAGTGAATTTTTATGGATTTGTAATTAACTCAAGAGTAATTTTGGGAAAAAGGCTGATTTAGTTGATGATTAACCCAGGCAATTGTAATAAATTACAAATGGAGAGTGTTGGTCATACTCCTAATGTTGTCAGGGGTAGTGAAGTTGGATTGCAAGACAAGGGAAGTGGTGTGCGGGGGCGGAGTACTATGGAAGAAGAGGATGTGATGAACATGGATCCGTGTTTGGAGGACTGTCGTGTGCTGGTTCCTTTTGTAGAGGGGGATATATCACCATCAACTGTAGGCCCTGATGATAGGATGGAGTATGTTACACCCTTAAAAACGTTTGAGACAGTACAAACAGTGGTAGCTAGTAACCATGTTAGTGTAGTTAGTTATGTGGAAGAACCTGAGTTGGGATGATATTTGAAAAGTGGCAAGATGTCGAAGCTTATTACAAGGATTATGTAGAGCTAAAGGGTTATGGAGTGAGTAGGGTGCAGGGTGTGTATTCAAAGGGTGAGGTGACGGACTGAATCTCTACGACGTGGAGGTGTGAGTGCTCTAGGAGACCAAACATGAGGGCACAAAGAGAAGCAAAAAAGAGGGCCAAAGCGATGGACGCTAGTGGGTCAGGTGGAGTGATTGGTGGAATGGTCGGAGAGGATGAGTTGAGTCGTAGCAAAAGAAGGTCTAAAAAATGTGAGTGTATTGCCAATGTGTATGCAAGTGTAAACCGTGAAGGAGAATGGGTGATAAGGATAGTTGAATTGGAGCACACAGGTCACGCCCCCAATCGTAGGAATGCTCGTTTAGTGAAAGAGTATCGGATGAAACACTTTACATCAAGAGTGAGAAAGAAGCTACATAAATATTTTGAGAATGGGTTACCAGTGAAGCAAATCCATGGGTGCTTTGGAACTGAGATGGTGGACTCTGAGCCTTTGCCATTCAATGTGAAGGACATAGAGCATGAGGTCTACAAAAGAAGGCGTTTACTAATGGAGGGAAGTGAATGTGTTGCCATGATGAAATTTTTTCAACAAATGCAATCTGGGAATATAAATTTTTATTTTTCACAACGGTTGGATGATGAAGGTCGGTCGAAGGATGTTATGTAAGTTGATGCTCGTAGTAGAGCAGCTTATGAAGAGTTTGGTGATGTCGTTTGTTTTGATACCACATATTTGACCAATGAGTATGATTTACCCTTTTCCAACTTTGTGGGAGTTAATCACCATGGACAATCAATTCTCCTTGGTTGCGCTCTTGTGTCCCACGAAGATTGTGATACATTCAAGTGGGTGTTTGAACAATGGTTACAATGTATGAATGTTAAAGCTCCCAAAGCAATGCTCACCGACCAGGCAGCTGCCATGAGGAAGCCACTTGAGGAGGTGATGCCGATGACGAGACACCAATGGTGCATCTGGCACATAATGAGAAAGATTCCTGAAAAACTTGGTAAATGCGAAAAGTAAGTCGTTGAAAAACCCATTTTTAAAAATAGTATATTTTTGTTGAACTTATGATGATTTATCCTTAGTGTATATGTATATGTTATGCAGGTATCAGGAATTAAAGAGAAAGCTAAAGTGTGTTGTTTATGAAAGTTTCAACGTCCAAGAATTTGAGAACAATTGGAATGAAGTTGTTACTAAATATGAGCTGCAGAGCAATGAATGGCTTGACATTCTTTGCAAGGAACGACACATGTGGGTACCTGCTTTTATGAGAGATGTTTTCTGGGATGGTATGAAAACGACACAACGGGTTGAGAGTATAAACAGTTTTTTTTTATGGTTTTCTTAATCGTAAAACCAAGTTGTTCGAGTTCCCACAAAAGTATGATAAGGCCGTGGAGAAGAGAGTTGATGATGAAGTAGATGCTGATGAAAAATGTGCGAAATATATCAGGCGATTGGTCAGTGGTTTTGCGGTTGAGAAATTATTTCAAAAGTTATACATGGATACTAAGTTTCAAGAAGTGCAAACGGAATGTTGTAGGCTTATGTACTGCTATCCTCGTGAAGAGAATATAGTATCAGAAAATCTAATTCAGTATCTGATTGAAGATCGTGTTTGGATTGTTCCAGAGGGTAAGAACGAGGCTGTATTGACAAATAGGAGGAGGTTTTATTCAGCTACTTTTCACACCGAAACCAAAATAGTCTGTTGTGATTGCCGCAAGTTTGAAACAGATGGTATAATTTGCAGGCACATCATTCGTATTCCTGACCTTAATCAAGTCGTTGACATTCCACAACGATATATACTAAGTCATTGGAGAAAAGATTTGTTAAGGATGCACACAGGTGTTAAGGTATCCAAGCATGATCCATCTAAGACCGGGTTGTGGAAAAGGTGATGTTGACTGCTTTTGAGCCAATCTGTGAGGAGGCGGCAACGGTGGAAAATGAGACAGTGACGAAGGTGTTATCAACACTAGAACAAATACAAGCAGCTATAAGGCGCAGCGCAAAACGTAAGTTTGATCAAACCGTTCCCTTAACATTCCCAGGTGAAGCCGCAGGAACAGTGCAACATAACAGCACTAGTGAGAATGGGTCTACATCTACAGTACATAACACTTGTGGTGAGGAAAGATTGACAAATAATGTGATCGGGTTGAAAGGGACATATGCCAACATATGCTCACCCAAAGACCCGGTGCCTAAGAAGAGAGGCAGAGGAAGGCCGAAAGGATCGTGTAACAAGGGACTGGCTAAGATTGGGTACAAACGACCTACTAACACAAATGGGCAGGTAATCCAAAGCAATCTTTACTTGCAATAGGCATCTAGAATGTTGATCTTTATTTCTCTAATTACACAATTTATGTACAGGTATCTAAATCCCAGGCTGAGATCGTTAGGTGTCAAGATAGCCTTTTTACTCCCCCACCTAAAAAGATTTCTATAAGTTCAGCATATGCACAATATGATTCTTGTTTTATGTTCCCTTACATTTTTTGTGTATGCTGCTTATGCCTCTTTAATTTTGTTGCCCCCTTTCCAGGATAGAAGGAAGGTTGCCACTCAACCCGTTGCTGATGTGAACCCTGTTGGTTATGTTCCAGAGGACGATTGTCTTCTCGTTGGCACGTCCGGTACCTCTACTGCAGGCGTATAACACTAACTGCTCTCCTAATTATGGTTTTGTTTTTGTGTTTGTAGACTCTATGACTTGGGTGTAATTGACATAATGAACTGTGTGGGTAATATCAAATTATGCAGCAATTTCTATCTTGCATTATAACTTATGATATGTTCAGGTAGGAAATCGCATGCATATGGTGTTCTTGAAATATAATTCCAAATCCGATTGGTTCGGACATGATCTATTAGCATCTAAGTAGCATACATCATTTGTTAACTCGCAATTTGTTGTTGTCCTGCAAGACGATCGAATTCTAAAACTAGATTGACTGTATGTAATGTCCTACAATGTTACTAAGGCTGTAATGGAACATGGGCCAAGCAACCCATTACAAAGCCCAACATGATAAACATTACAAATACTGGATAATAGGACCGGCCCAGTCCATTTACATGTTAAACTTATTGGACTCATCCTTGAAGGCCCTAAAGTTTGTCATGTTTATTTTGAATCCTTGATACGATTGGTGGTACTTAATGGTATCGACTCCAAAGAACTTATTTTGTATGAGTACGAGTGTTGTGGATTTTAGGTAAAGTCATTAGTCTCTACTAAAACGCTAATAACTAAAACATTAGTCATAAACCAAAAACCTTAAAAGAATTATAAAAAAAAACTAAAACAATTTGGGGGTTTGATCAAAACATCTCCTACTAGCATTTTGTAACATAACCTTTATTCGATTTTCAAACACACTTATGTAACAACTAAAAAACTAACTTCATACGTTAACTATACCAGCCTTACTAAATTGCACGCATTAACATCTGATATGGGTGAAGATAATAACAACATAGTTCTTTCTGACACCTCACTGTTGCTATTGAAATTCTTGGACATGAAAATTCTTGTGCAAATGTTATTATACCACATTCTTCCTAGCGCAGGTTTGACCTTCCTTCCGTTGGACATGATCATGTTGCTGGATCCCTCGTAATCAGTCTGGGACACTTCTACAACATTATTGACAGCTACAATAACAAGATCATATTTATTTGCCAACGATCTCAGTCCATTTGAGACCACAATCAAAATTGCAGTCCTTTCCATCATAGACTCCCTCGTGTTTGTAAAATGAAAACGACATATACTTGAAATAGAGTCTATCACAACAACTTGATAATTTCCTTTTTTACCTATTTCACTTTGAAGGAAGATTTCTAGCCATTGAACGGTTCCAACGAGATCTTGAGGAGATTCCACCTTTTTCACTAATATTTTCTCCAAAGGGTGCCGATCTTTTGGTGTAGTCGAACCAAATACTAGGGGGATCATGTCATTGATTCTGCCAGAAGGAAACTCACCGATCGACTGTATGTACACCGATGCAGATCCTAAACCCCCCATTGATGGAGACAACTGAGCTGCTAACATCATTTGCAAGCATAATTGTGTCATGCCTGTTCCCTCATCACCATATACCTCAGTGATGTGACTAGAACGAAATCCTCCATTTAACATATTGTCTATTGTTGAGCATCCACTCAAAGTAGTTTTCATTTTGTTATGTTAGCCTACCTTATCTTCAATTTTATCCCCCCTCTCCCCCCAACCCCCCTATTTCACAGACTTATGTACTAACATATCCCTATTTCTAAGGCTTCATGTGACCGTATTTTGTCACATTCACGTGTTATTATTTTCTTAAATTTAATTATGACACAATTTTATCAAGTTATCAAAGTAAATTCTGTAGTACATTGTTATTGTACTTTGTTACTTAGCCGCAAGTCATGGACGTACTCTAAAGTTGTCTTCCAGTTTCACATATCAAATTATGTATAGCATCTGGACGGCCCAGTTCTTTTATTGGGCCCAAACCCTAGAGCAGCTAAACTAAATACTGATTATGGTATTGGCCCTTTTTTTTACTTGTGATCCAATTGCTATTTTATTATTGTTACTAGCTTCTATTTCTATTTTTTATCGTGACGATTAGGAAAGGAAATCATTAATATTATGTTTTCCAACCATGAACAACAGTTTTAATTAATATTTTTAAAACTAATACATAAGGGCAACATAACATAGTAAATTTGGATTATCTTCTTTAATAAGCTTACAAAATTTGTCCGCCTTGACAATCACAAAGTGTATGACATGTAAACCAATGCTACTAAACCAACCCTTACCATAACTACCTTCACACACTTGGGAACATTCTGTTATGACAAGGCACAAAAGACCTACAGTTGAAACAACTTTACAATACTAGCGCCTACTCGACCAAATAAAATGCATATAATAGAACACAAGGATTACAAAAAGAGTACTCTATTGTACTGAATACTAACTGAATCAAAATAGTAGAGTTGTTAGATCAATACCGATGTGGCTCAGTCTATCCAACGCCTAATTTCACCTTCATCTGAGTTGGGTCGCACACGGCTTTGTATTTTAGGGCACAAACCAAAACCACATTGGGGTACAATAGCCGTAGCTTTGATCCACCAAGTCCAGACTAACTTGTTAAACTTACCCGTAGCCATTTTCCAAATCCACCTACACCCATTGTCATTAATGAAACCTTGGGCTCGTATACATTTCACCCGCACAGAACACACGTCTTGGTCGTTGACAGTCCTCTCTGATTGATTGTCACATTGACTTAGAAAGGTTGGTGACAAGATAGATCGCAGGAACAGAAGGTTACCGAGCGTAATATGACCCATACTGGGGTGTTCCTCAGCTCCTTCTGTTCCACCAAATGGAAGAACCCAACGAAGCATCTCCTCAATTTCTACAGACGTCGGGATTGGGCCATACAATTCTCCAAAAGTTGGCCTCCTTCTTCTAACTGGATCAGACTGCACTTGGGTTGGAGTTGTTAAACGATCCGTTGGCTCAAAAAATATGTTGGACTTGACGTACGTTTCTCTTGAAATCTCTCTTCCATGTACACCCTCCATACTGTTTTTAGTTATCCTTTTATTGTTTCTCGCCAAAAACACACTCAGATGTATGTAATGGTTAAAAATTCAAAGGGTAGAGACATTATATATTTATAAGCCACATTATAAGGTTGAAGGTGGTTGTGTAACCATTAATTACAACTGTAAATGCTCTCTCTTTTGCAACTCAAGTTAAGTGAATTCAGCCAAGTACCCTAACAATTTACGAGAACCTATGATGAGGTCGCTCCCCAAAACCGAAGGATTTCCTTGCGTTTGAATTGTATATGAACGTGAAACCATTGGATAAACCAAGAACTTTCAATGTATTGCACAAATAATTTAAAAAGAGTGCAATGGGTCTAATCAAAACAGTAAAGTCGTTTTGGGCTCATCATGACATGCTCTTAGCCCATCCTTTTACCCAACCCCAAGTGATAGATGTAATTATATATGGTACAACAAGGACTAATGTACCCCTAATCTAAAACTTTCGCTAATTACATTATTAAGTGTGCAACCGTTGTTAGTAATTATACTAGTTCCTTGCCCAAGCAACGCTCGGATATTCACAGGAAAAAAATTATATTTATACTTTGTATATTATTATAAGCTTGTATTTGTTTATAGATTGGGTATATTTTTAATATTTTATTTATTTAAATTTGTTGTTATTGTTATATTATTTAGGCTGTATATATTTATTTATTTATTTGAAAAAGACAGTATATTTTTTTCATAAATTTTCTTTTTGTATTTTCTAAGGAAAATAATAAAAATTAAAAAGGTCTTGGTGAGAAATTATTTAATGTAAGCACGTGTAATTCTAAAATATTCCCGGTGATTACTTTTATATATAGTATTGAAGTACTGATAGATTTTTAATACTTAATATTTATCATTAGTCTAAAACTATTATTTAATTATAAAAAATTATACCTAATTGCAAAATAGGATGAAAGTTCCGTAATTACAAAAAAGAATTTAAATAAATACTTCTCTAAGAAGCATTGAAAAAAACATATTATTGTATATTTTGTATTAAAAACTTATCTTAGAACCTATGGACAATAAAATAAAAATTTTAAAAATGGAGGGAAATTTTTTATCCAGAAAGTGACATTTGTCATTCCTAGTTTCGCCTTTAGTATAAAGTTATAGATGGCGGTAGTAATCCAATTTTTTGTTTCAGTTAATAAAATAGGTCGACTAATGGAATTTATTATAACTAACACTTTATGGCTAATTTGTGTATCTTCTTCTTTTGGAATGACCTTCTCATACATGACTTATCACAATAAATGTATTATAAAACCAAAGTATATCACTTAATAAACTTCATTCATACGTCGAGTTTCTTTAATACAATATTGATTAACAAGTTACACCAAACACACACCAAGTTCTGGAACTAGTACTCCACAAAAGTAGGTGTTTTAACTGTTCTACTATTGTCCGATACACACCAATTACGTACTTCTTAATCTAATACATTTCTGATCACAACTTCCAAAACATTTACAAAAACATTTAAATTTAGACACTTGTTTGATTAGATAGGTCTTCATTAGGTAAAAACTTCAAAGGGCATAATGCTTCAAGGCCTCCTCCAGTCGTTAAGCAACACATACAACAGACCTTCGTTTATTATTTCCACTTCTCGGATGGTGTCTAGTGCCGTGACAACCATATTATCATAGATACCAAATAGTTATCTGGGATGGACGTTGTTGTGTGCTCCCCACTGCTTGTACACCGTCTACAATGTGTCCTTCGGCAAAGCAGTTACTCTAAGCTGCCTTGGGAAGGAAGTCATGTCTTGCATCCTAAACACCTTGAAACGTGTATCCACGTTGTGGCTGATGGGGTCCTAATTACATACAAAATGTAACTTAAGTTGCTCCACCACTCAATTGTTAATAACTCAAAATTTATTGGAGACAGACAAATGGAATATGTGTATACGAAATGACAAATAACTGTAGTATTTGGTGTTGACTTTTATTAATACACTTAAACGAGAATCATTTCGTAAGACCTACGACCCAACTTAAGTATTAGTATATCACAATTGATACTGTATGGCTAATAAGTGACAACAGAACATTTGTAGGAATACTGATTGAAAAATCACATTTTACTTAGTCCATTGTACACGGTACCAGGTAGGCCAGTGAACTATACAATAATAAACTTGTTGAAAAAACCTTTGTAAAAGGGGCATTTTGATGTACAGTTCATGAAAAGCTGTAATTATTATCTTTGATTACAATCATTAGTTTAATAAATTTCACTGCATTTCCTACCATTAATTAAATTTATTGCAAGTTACTATATTTTCGTACAATTATAAAATTAGTCGATTTTATGTACTTCAATAATTAAACCAATTATGCTAATGTATTTAATTTAATTCCAATCACTAGTAGAAATAAATTTCACTCAAATTTGCACAACTACTGACATTTAATTCTGCAAGTTATTATACTTTCTTAAACACCCATACGATTATAAAATACGTGCAATTCAGATACTTTACTCAGAAAACAAATGATGCTAACGTATTTTATAGAAACAAGAAACAACAAACTACACATTAACTGGAATTATTAATAATTTTCAGCTTTCGGTGATTAATTTACTTTACAAATAACAAGTAAAATGTTCTATTACGATCTTTTTCGACCAATTGCCGTTGTGACAAACAAATTAAGTACATACTATCATTAAAGAATGAAATTAATATCAAACAATTAATGACATGGATTTATGCCTCTTTTAGTGTTCTACATAAATAACGTAGCACATTAAACCATACATTACATTAAACAGATATTAGTTAAACCCTGTTTACTCATAATCTCATATAAAAGAACTAGTCAAACTTTAAATAAAAGAAGAAATGTTACCACAGCTTCAACAGTCAGAGCATCTCCATGTTGGATTCCGGCAGAATAAGCAGTTTGAGTTGAACTAATAACCCCACCGTGCCTCCTAATCACGATTTCTGTAGCCTTTCTATCCACCCTCTCATCATAGTCGTCATAGATACGAGAAAGAGTCTCAATGGAAGATATAGTGTAAGGAACTCCCACGTCAGTAGGGTTGGTGCTACACACCCTAATTTGATAAATAGGCACTCCACCGCCGTGGTGGTTAAACGGCAGACCATAACCATTTTGGTGAACCGGGTAAAATAAGGGAACCCCGTCATTGGGCCTAACAGGGGTAGGAGGCAACAAACGTCGTGGCGAAAGATGTGCCACCTGAAAATGTGGCGGATCTTCCTCCACCTCGTTAAGGGTTCGGTTCAGATCTGGGTAGAGACGGGGAGACTGACGCTCAGTATCTAAATCTATGACATCATTGTTGTCATTCGGGTTAGGGTTTCTAGATGAGCTACCAGGGTTGGAAAGTGTAGGGAATAGATTTCAAGCTTTAATCCCACTAGCTTGAACCCCACTGTGATCATACACTAAAGCACGGTGGCGTCCAAAAGGGAAGAAGATAGAGCAAAAGAGTCGCTAACAAGTTTTAGGAACTTGTAAATCGTTCACAGGGTGAAGGTTACACCCCTTAACGATCCAAGAGATCGTCAACTCCATAAGG